CCACTTGGATATGAATCCAATGACAATACTCTGAAAATTATTCTGATGCTCGCTAGTGAATGACTTGCTACAGGACAGAGTTTCCTGGAATTCTAGGGAGAGAAATCGTGACCAATGAAGTCTATCCAGTCGGGAGTGAGGATGGAGTTCCCACCAATAACATTGGTTGGTGCCATATAAGGTAAATCACGAATTGGTAGAAGTTATAATTCATGGGCTGGTTGGTAAACGATCTAGCTTGCCTTGTAGTAGTCGGAAGGACGTGGGTTCGAACGCAAGCGGTGGGTGTCCAAACTAACACAACGGAAACAACTGTCCAATACTCCCTGTGGCTGGTTTTCAATCGTTCTCTAACTGTGATATCAATCCGTGGGCAAACTTGTATAAACTGAAAATAGTGTCTAGGTGAACACCAATGACTACTAGTCAATTAAACAACTGGCCATCTGAGAACACACAGAAACAGCAATAAGGATAACATCAAAAGAATCTACTTGAGTTACAATTCCTCTCCAATATGTAATGATAAATTATCAGTGAACATGAACACAGGCAGACATTTAAAAAAACAAACACTCTATACCCTAGTGATTATAAAAAGTTGATAAATTAACCATTAAAAAGTGAAGTGCTAGGCTAGGCTAGGCATGATTGTGGTTATTTGTTCAAGCAAGCCCATTTTTCTTTTTTTTTTGAGGAAGGAGGAATAACTCTAGTCCCTCCTCACCTACCCCCCCTTACACGCTGGTCACCAATATTTGTCAATTTCTCTGGATGAAATATCGATTTACTGTCATAAATGTGATAAAAATCTTTGAAATAATATTTTTTTTTTAAAGGTCATACGTGGTTCAGTAGTGAGGAAATAAGTTGGTCGGGGTCAAACTGTAACATGAATTATGACAATTGTGGAAATAAAAAGTATATGTATATGTGGAGGCGGAGGGGTAAGGGGATCATATAAAAATAAATGAGACAATTTGTTGCCATTTGATGGCATTTTCACAAGAGAATTCATGTTAAATTCTCATGTTACATGCAATCGTACCAGCTGTCCCCCACCACCACACCTCCAAATTATTCAAAAGTATAGAGTGAGAAAATGTTTGAAAAATGAATAATAAAATAACAAGGGCTTATTTATCAAATAAATTTGGGGACTTGTACTCATCAGCTGGTCAGTTATTTAGACTAGTTAACAATGAAACTGATAGGCAGTTGTTTCGTCCTAATTTGAAACTCCTCAGTAAAACTTTAATTTCAATTCAAAATTTCACATATAAAATTTGTCAAGATTCTTTTTGTGTTGATGGAAGCCTATCCAGTTCACCGTATCCGGGGCTTCACTCAACGTAATGTTAAGTAGAATAATCTAGTAATTGTATTTGGTCAACTATCTTTATATGTCTGATTTCCCATAAACTGGAAGATATGCAAGTGAAAAGTAATAAGTTGGCAGAAGAAGCATCAAAGATAGGACTTCACGTGAACATAGATAAAACAGAGATGATGAAGATTCCTAGCCAACAGCAACAACAACAACAGACAACAATCAGCATAAGTGGGAAGAACCTGAAAGAAACAGCCTCCTTCAGCTACCTGGGAAGCATCGTCTCAACTACAGGCGGAACTGACGAGGATATCAAAGCCAGAATCGGAAAAGCAAGACAAGCTTTCATTACTCTCACTAAGTCTGTGTGGAGGTCAACAGCACTCAGCATCAAAAATAACATCCGGATTTTCAACTCCAATGTGAAGTCACTGCTACTATACGGATCAGAGACTTGGCGAGTCATAAAGAGCATCTCAAACAAACTTCAAACCTTCATTAACAACTGTCTCCGCTCAATACTCAAGATCAGATGGCCGGCCAGAAAAGATCAGCAACAGGGATCTCTGGGAGCGAACCAATCAGGAACCGATTGTGAAACCAATAGGCAGAAAGAAATGGAGATGGATTGGCCATACGCTGAGGAAACCATCAAGTGACATCACTAGACAAGCCATTTCTCGAGTGGAACCCGAAAGGGAGGCGGCGAGTTGGTCGTCAGTGCAAGGGTGACTTGGAGGAGGTCATGCGAGGAGGAGATGAAAGCATGTGGACAGACCTGGAGCAGGTTGAAAAAGTTGTCAGAAAACCGAAGGCAATTGGGACGCGCAGCTGAAGCCCTATGTTCCTCTAGGAACTAAAGGATACAATAATAATAATAATAACTATCTTTATACTCGATTAGACTGACCACAAAGCGTTAATATTAGAATTTGACTAAATTCATTGTTAAGATAGACACTGGATAATGACGACAGTTGAAAAATACTATGATCTCCAGAACACTTTATCCTCTTTTGCTTAGTCGTACATATTTTTATGTAGTCTTAGACTAGGTCGGAAAAATCGTCCAGAACATTTTGGTTTCTAATTGATTTCTAAGATCTCTCTAACTGATATTCATCTATGAGTGATCTATCAGACCTATCTTCTGATTACCTTTGATTGTCTAATAGAAATGAAAGTTCATGGTAGTGACAAGTATCATAGCTTGAATAACAATGCTGGAAACATCACTTATAGAACTTGACATCAACATAAAGAATTAGATGCACGATGATGGTTACACTCTACAGTTAAAAAAAGTTTTATTTCTGTGTGGGGAAAAGATTTCAATTTTTCTATATGTTAATGGTAACTTCGCTTAGTTTACTGGCTCACTAGTTTTCTAACTGGTCGCAAGCCCTGATGATGAGGGAAGATTGCGCGTAGGGGCTAGCTACTCTAACCCACAAACTGACTGAAGAAGTAGGAGGCGAAGACACAACTCCAAGTGAGTATAGAGAAGATCGAGGTAATGAAGATAATCTTCAACCAACAGCACCACCACCACCAACAACAACAACAACAACAGCTATAACAACAACCAGCACCAATCACTATCGGCAGCACAGATATAACAGAGGTTACTGTTACCTGTCATCACTTTTCTGCCTAGGTAGGACAGTTTCAAACACAGCCAATCGGAACGAATAAAGATAGCAAAACCAGTCAACCAACATCGGAAAGGCAAGATACACAGTCATCAACCTGAAACCGGTTTTCTAATCTTCTGCTTCATTCATTCAGATTTTCATCACAAATGTAAAGTCAGTCAGTCAGTCAGTCAATGAGTCCTTCTACACGGGTCAGAAACTTGCATTGCGAGTGAGTCACGAAAATGGTTTCTCACAAGTTACAGGCTTTTCTCAACAGCTAACCACTTCGCTGACGAACCGTCGAATGACATCATGCGCAATGCAGACCATCACTCGAGTGAAATCCAAATTGGTAGCGATGAGTGGATCGTCGCTGGTGGGAGGGTAACATCGAGGAGATCGTCTGTTGGGGACGAGGAGGTGGAGAATAAACTACGAGACTATGGGCAATCTTAGAGTTAGCTGGCTGAAGAGGACGGCAGAAAACAGAACAAAGTGTAGATGTATTGTTGAAGCCCTGTGTTCCATTCGGACGCCAAACGAACAATAAAAAATAATAATAAATATGTAAATGATATTATGTTCAAAAGAATTCTACCAAGGCTTTTTATGAAGAATCTATTTCTGTTTGCGTATGTGTGTGTGTGTGTGTAAAAAAGTTACTTCCAGTACACTTTTAAAGGCAAAACGATATATGAATTTGAGATTTTCCCATCGACTAATTGGACAGAAAATTAAATAATAATATGAGTCGTTGCATAAGAATTAGGTGGCTCTCGTGGCCCAAGTCGTATAATGGATAACGCTTCAGCTGGCGTTCGAAACTATGGGTACTGGGTTCAGCTAGCAGACGAGTCCCAATCAGAGGACGAAATGCGTGTTGTTCTGGATTCCACTGCTGGTCACCATCCACCAATTAAATTTAAAACAATATATGGTTTATAGGATCACAGAAAAGTATGTCGCACTAGACAGCTATTATATCTATCCTAGTCGCAAACCCTTTAGGATTGCAGACGCCAGATCCTATGAAGGAATTACCGTAGTAAAAAATGTATGTGTAAAAAAATTTCTCAGTTAATGTTTATAAAGAATCTCACTCCGTGTAAGTGACTGCACTTTTATAAACTCTGAACAAGTTTGCTATATACATTAAAACAGGAGTAAATTAAACGAATCTCATATTTTTTGCTTTCCTTTACGTTCCCCAGTGGAACATAGGGCTTCAAGCTAGTGGCTTGAAGTTTCTGTAGCAGTGTTTATTTTACAGGATGTGGTTGCTGCTAGCCTCATGCCCAACCTCTCCTCTTTACCACCATTATTTCTAGCTTAGCGAGGTGAAAAAGGAGTGCGTCTGTGGCCGAGGATCGAACCCCGGACCATGTGCATGGTCAGCGAGCGTCCTAACCACTGTTCCACCGACGCAGAAGTAAATTAAACGAATCTCATATCCAGCTAACTAACTAAAGCTCAACATAGAACTTTGCACAGAAGTTTGGCAGTCCTGGTTGCCACACTCCATATAGCACACACACTCACATACGTAGAGAAAACCGGAAAAATAAACGACTCAAATACAAATCAACCAAAAAAGCATAAATGCACGGGAAAAAAAGAATGGTAACATTGATCTTGAAGAGTGTGGATCTAGGCCAATGAGGAATGATTCTAGGCAACAACCGCCAAATAGCCTCTAGCTATTTGATTCTTACCAACTTATGCCAGCATGACTTGCAGAAGCCAACAATCGACAACTTCATGGCAACACCTAACTCTTTTCTAACCCGAGAATATATTGGCTAACCTTGTTAGTCTTCAAGGTGGCAGTGACTCATCATGCTTAACAAATAGTGTCCACCATCCAAGCCATTTCAATCGAGGTAGCTTCACTTGACTACCACCTAATCGATTGTCTTTTGCCGTCACCACCCCCCCCCAGCACACATCTTATGCATTTATGTATTCACTCTCGTGTGTAATTAATACTCCACAAATAAGGTGAAAACTTGATAGATGATAGAATAAAAACTTACATTGTTGCTTGATTTACAACTGATGAATTATGCATAGATGTTGGGAAATCACAGTCTTGACCTTTAAAATGTTTATTAAGATTATTATTATGATTATTACTGTTTCTCAATAATTTATAATTGGTTTGTTCCCTGGATGAATTATGCATTGATTCACTAGAACATGGCGTAGTATTCAATTCCATACGATCATTATTCGTCGGTGAAGGAGATGATAAGCCGAGTAAAGCCAATTGGCCTAAAGCATGTTGAAAGGCAGCAACAGCACTTGGTGAAGCAGTGGACAGGGCAGACGACCATGAGGCTAAACTTTCATAAGTATTTAAAATGGTATTATTATTATTATCTTGTTGTAAAGTTGATAAATCCTCAATTCGATTGCATGCAACTCTAGAATGTTGGCATGTAGTCGTTGTTGATGCTAATGACGTCGAGGATGTCTCTGTCGATATTGTCGAAGAAGATGGAGACGACGAGGATAATAAAGGAAGGTCACTATATTATTATTATTATTAATATTGTTATTATTAGCAGTAGTATGTTTATTATTCCAATGAGCATTAGACCGTAAATGATGCATAGGATAACTCGAAAGATCATTATTACTACTACTACTACTACCACCACTACTCTGAATTGTATTCAACGTAGAATTAGTCATATTTAACAGTTGAAGAGATAAATTCTGTAATGTCGTTGGTGATGGGGTTAATGATGATGATGATGATTGAGTATGAAGTTTACTCAAAGTCTTTTCATCAATAGACAGTTGTTGGGGGTGTTGATGTTGGTGTTGTTGGTGTTGATGTAAAGCTAAAGAGTTGAATATTTCCACAGCAAGATTATATGGACTAGGTAGGTTTGTTGTAGATGTTGGCGTTGGTGTAGGGATAAAAGGGCTGACGGTAGTAGTAGTATTACTTGTATTAGCAGTATTCAACAATGCCCCTGAAGTTGATAATAATATCGAAGGAGATGAAGAACACGGTGAAGACATGCTGGCATTTTGTTGAGACGACATAATATGATCATAGAAGTCCGTAAAAGATGGAATTCTTAAAGGATATGGAAATAATGTATTCATAGGAGTAATTGAATCAATTTTTTTTTTAAAAAAACACACACTTGTATAATCGTTTTATGCTTCAATAATGGAGAAGAATGTGCTTTTACTTCAGAGAGTTAATCGGAATACTGTAAAATAAATATCCGAAAAGTAGTTTTTTTTGTTTTGTTTTAAACAATCCACGAAAGATAATGGCGGCTGCTACACAGCTTCAATAAGTTCTCTGTTGCTGTTATTCCTTCCACCGAGACTGCTTGTTGTTATGGTTGTCACAAGATTGATAATAATTCACTTATATCTACCTATCTATCTATCAGGCGTAATTTTTAAAAACTATTCATCCTTTTGTTAAACAATAATTCTGAGTTATATATGTATATTTTCCATTTTGTGTTCTCTGTGGCTTTTTTTCTTCATCTCTCTGCGTCTATAATCAACGTCTATATAATAACCATTCACAGGTTCCTTTACGTACGCACTCACGTACGCACGCATGCGCACACATATGCACACACGCTAGTGCGTATTTGTGTATGTCTAACACAGACAGGTTTATTAACACACATAAAATAATCTGATTGGTGGATTAAAGGGCGGATAGACAGGTTGTAGTAGATGGATAGATAGACACACAGATAGATGGTCAATATTTAGAGAAATACACCAATGTTTGCGATAATTCGAAATTTTGCCTGTCCATAGGTTTGCGCACACCTCACCACCCTGGACGCAGGGATTACCATTATTTGTCATTATTATTATCCAGATCATTGTGTTGTTGTTCAATCGATTTACCAGTGATGTGTTTTTTTTGAATAGATTTTTTCAGGCCCACTCTATCATAATATCATCATCTTCATCAGGGGAACATGTTTAATGTCTACCATTCTTCCTCTTCGTGTCGTACACCCATTAAATGCACACAATATGTGTGAAATGAAAAAAAGATGAGTATTTCTACATTAAAAAAAGTTAAATATTCACTTAATACTTATGTTGGTGAGATTTGGATAGACAGTATATAGTAGTAGAACAGATAAAGTGGGACTCTATATATTTTTGGAGAGGAGGGAAGTTTGTCTTACGTATGTATATTTATTTTTGTGCAGACAGCGAACAAAAAAAAGGCTTAACCAACAGTGACCCAGTTTTCTATCCTAATGTTACGTTTATCTAGGTCCTGCTGCTATTTCCTACCTTAGCTATCGTCTGTGTATCTATGTCAAATGGCTCTATTGATTTACAATTGGTGGATGGTGGCTAGCAGTGGAATCCAGGATGCGCATTTCGTCCTATTCGCGACTCGTCATCTGGATGTACCTGCATTTCTCAGTGAATGATGTTCCCACCGAGGCTCGAACCCAGTACCCATAGTTTCAAACGCCAAAGCGTTATCCACTAGACCACTTGGGCCACGAGAGCCACCTCTTGTGCAACGGGTCATATTAATTATTGAATTGGATTTTTTTTGATTTTCCCGTCGATTGATTGGACCGAAGTGCTCGGTCTGTTGATTATTGATTGGGTGATGGGTGAGAGGTAGGCGCTGAATACATTAACTCAAAGGTGGAGGCAATTCCATTCACTCAAGAATTGGAAGGTCTGGAAGGGGAGCTTCCAATGTTAGATTGCGGTGTAAAAAAGGAAAGAGGATGGGAAGTTAAACACACTAGTGGGTTTATAGGAAAAACACACATTCAGACAGATATTTGGATTCCGAGTCATCCCACCCTATGTCAGTGAAAATAAGATTGGTGAAATGTTTAGGTGACAGAGCACAAAAGCTAAACAGTACCAAGGAAAATCTAAGACAGGAAGTGAGACACATAAGAGAAGCCTTGAAGCTTAATAATTACCTTGATAAATTAGTCAGGAAATATGTAAGGAAATGTAAAGATAAAGCAAATAATGGTAGTAGTGATAGTGATAATAATAATTATTATAATTATGACGACATGCATGTCAAACATGCGCAAGATAATGACAAGACCAACAATAAGGAATCTATATCATCAGTAGTGCTTCCATACAATGAAGGAACCTCGGAATCCTTACGCAGAATTCTTAACAAGGCAGGAATAAAAGTGCCTGGGATTCAAACCAACTACAAACTCAATTAGAAACAAGCTTTGTCGATTAAAGGATCATTCCTGTGGAGCCTTTAAAACAGAGCAGTTTAGTTTATCTTATACACTGTCTGCAATGATTGTCAGGTCAAGTACATCGGTCAAACAAGTAGAACAGGGGCAGTCTAACTAGCCGGGCATAAAAGCTTAGCAGCGAAATCTAGATTAGTTGACCCCAATAATAAGATAAGAAATCTACAGAATAGTTCAGCTTTACAGCACCACAACACATGCAATTACACACAATCATACAAATAGCCTGGATGGGATAAGATGACAGTTTTAAAATCTAATGCAACTAACAGGGTGGAAGAAGAGATTGATAACAGAAGCTTTATTTATCGAATCAACTGAAAATACGTGCCTGTAATAGGAATGATTCAACACCTGTCCACCCAGATATCTGGAAAATTCTACTACCACAGATACGACGACCACTAGGAGAGAACAAAGAAAACTGTAAAACTCAAGCTTCGAAGTCGTGTGATTATAATTGAAGATGTAATGATTATGAACAATAATGAATTGTGTTCGAAACGTCATCCAGTGAATAATACTGTCACTCCACTGTGTGATACATCTAATAAACAAACTAATATGAAATTACTTACTACCAAAGTGCCCAAATTTTACACATATATTAACACTACTAGCCTACTGAGGTTAGGAGACACATCACTGTACAAGATAATCATCATTTGAGGTTGCCATTTAAATCTACTCAAATAATGGTGTTTCCATTGAAAATCTAACTCCTCAATTCTTGTTTTCAATCAACTAATGTCTTGAATGTGGTAAGACAAACCAATTCAGCAATTTTCATGTACTAAATCTCTTGAATGAATTTGGAAAATTAAAGCCATCACAATACATTGGTTAGTCTCTACTTAACTGCTTACAGCACGAACAATCAAAATAAATATGGTTAATTGGGGGATGGTGGACTAGCAGTGGAATCCAGGACTCGTCAGTCAGCTGAATATCCCTGCATTCCACAGTGAGTCAGGGATGATGTTCCCACCGAGACCGAGCACTTCGGTCCAATCAGTCGATGGAAAAATCTAAAATTCAGTTAAATAATTAATATGACTTGTTGCACAAGAATGAGGTGGCTCTCGTGGTCCAAGTGATCTAGTGGATAATGCTTCAGCTGGCGTTTGAAACTATGGGTACTGGGTTCGAACTTCGGTGGAAGACATCATCACTGAATCACTGAGGGATTCAGATACATACAGCTGGCAGACGAGTGGCAATCAAAGGACGAAATCCGTGTTGTCCTGGATTCCATTGCTAGTCACCATACACCAATTAACTTCTAATTACATGCCCAGACGTCGTTGAAGCATCTGCACAAGAAGCCAACAGATATGTCAACCGGATACAGAGCACTTCTGTTCAATCAATTGACAGGAAAATCTAAGAATGAATTAAATAAAAAAGAGTTAATTTGGGTCTATATTATGGGTAAGAAACTGGGTGAACGCGTGATGAAAGCGCATTTTTTTCAACAGCTGCCCACTTCTGTGGTTGCATGCTGAAGATCTTACATGGCAGCCATCCAGAAGCAATTAGCAAGAAACAAATCTCTGGGAACAAACTAACCAAGAGACTATTGTTCAAAAAATATGTAGAAGCAAATGAAGATGGATTGTGGGGGGGCATACACTTAGGAGGCCGTCGAATTGCTTCACTCGCCAGGCCATCTGTCGAGTGGAATCCCAAAAGAAACGACAAGTGCGTCAACACAGAAAGACATGCGAGAGATCTTATGTTTCGGGGGTTGAGATGAGAGATTATGGGCAGTTGTTGGGCCGACTAAATAGGAATGCAGAAAATAGAGGAAAGTGGAGATGTGTTGTTGAAGCCCCTATGTTCTACGCGGAACCTAAGGGATGAATTTCAATCTCAGATGGAAACATGGGTGTGCTGTTGAACACACCGAAGATAGAACAAGATAACCATGCTGCGTTTTACAGTTTTCAGTAATGATGCATAACTTTTAATAAAATGACTACGCAACTAGGTAAGAGTGAAAAGAAGTCAACACGTACGTCTTATAAAAAAGATGACGTAATCAATTAAAGTTGAAAGATGAATTACTAAGGTAGAAAGCTTCTCTTTACATGTGTATAAATCAGGTTTTAGTCGTCTGACAGCAATGGCCTCTTCAAACTTCAAGAAGTTTGAACTAGCCTGTTTGTATATCAATTTGAAAGAATTCGCAACATATACCTGTCACATAAAAGTCTCATAAATATGCTGATGAGAGATTTATTATGTAATTATTATTCCCTTGGTTCCAAATGGAATATAAGGCTTCAAAAGTACACCTCTGTTGCATGCTGTCCTCTGTGGTCCTCTTCATCTGGCTCTACGATTGCTTGTAGGTTTACATCTCCCCCTCATACTATCTCCACCATGTCACCACAGTGCCTAAGCCCTATTCACTTTCCACTCGACTGATAGATTGATGTCAGATATGACTTGGCGGGAACGTGAAGGAAAAAAACTGTAACATTCCAAAGTTTTCTTATTCCTTTGCGTTCTGACTGCAATTTAGAGTTTTGAGCATGAGCTCTTAAGTTTCACAAGCGGTGGTTATCTTTACACCCAACCCTTCCTGTTTCCCATCTCTCTACCGATTAAGTGAGTTTAAGGGGTACGCCGGTCTGGAATAAAAATCTGGACAATACGGGTAGTTGTGAGCATTCTATCACGGAACCGTCAACATACCAGATAGACAAATAGTTTTATTTAATTTTGGATTTATAAGTTGAACTGTTGTTTTCAATTTCAATGCTTAATCTATCAGTTCAAGTGAATTATTTGACTGAATATATAAAACATGCATCTACTCATAGTGAAATAAATTATCAATAAATTGTTATTGTTTCCTTTAGTTCCTATGGGAACATAGGATTATTACAGCCAAGCACGTCTCCATTGCGTTTGGTTCTCCACCAACGTTTCCGCGTACCTCCATCTCTGCCCACATGCTTTCCTCCTCCATGTCACCTCATCCTCGCACTGACGACCAGCTAACTCGCCGCTTCCTGCCTGGGTTCCACTCGAGCGATGGCCTGGCATGTGAAGTGACTCTCTTGATGGTGGTTTGTTTTCTCAAAGTATGGCCACCAATCCAACGACATATCTTTATGCATATTTCTTACACAGTTGGTTCCAGCTCAGTTAGTTTGCTCCTAGAAATCCCTCCCTGTTGCTGATCTTTTCTGTCTGGCCATCTGATCTTGAGTAGTATTGAGCGAAGACAGCTTTTGATGAAGTTCTGTAGTTCATTCGAAGT